TTAAATTAAAACAAAATAGGAATTCTGAACAGACCAATAACAAGCGAGGAAATTGAATCAGTAATAAATATTCTTCAATCAAAAAATGTTTTGGCTTTATGGACTTCACAACTGAAGTCCACTGAACACTTAGGAAAAACTATTTCAAAGTGTTGAAGAGAAAGAGATGCTACCAAACTCATTTGATGAAGCCAATGTTACTCTGATTTGAAAACTGGATGAGCACACAACAAAAAAGCCAACTACAGCCTCAAACCACTGATGAACATAGATTTTAAAGTTTTCAACAAGATACTGGAAAACTGAATCCAATAGCACATTAAAAGGATACTTTATCTGGATATCACATTATTTTCTTTGATTTTTTTCAATACTTTAACACGTCCCAATCTTCTTGCTTGTATGGTTTTCTATGAGAAGACAACTACAGGTTTTTTATTTTTTATTTTTAAAATCTTTATTCTATCGGTAAGTCTTCCTCTCTCCAGCCTCTTTAAGACCTTGTCTTTGGTTTTCTGCGATTTTAGTAGGATACACCTACGTGTGCATATTTTGATGTTTATACTTCTTGGTGTTCTGTAAGTTTCTTGGATCTGTAGTTTGGTGTATGTCATTAAGTTTGGAAACTACTTGGTCATTATTACCCAAAATAATTCTGCTGTTCTTGTTTATTTTTCTCTGGTATTTTTATCTGGCATTTTATGCATGGTATACTTATTGAATATGTCCCATAGTTGTCAAATGTTCTCTTTTTATTATTTTTATACTGTTTTTCTTTGTATTTCTGTTGGGAATTTTCTATTTACCTGTCTTTGAAATTACTCATTCTCTCCTCAGGCTTATTCAGGTCAAAACTAGACTCCAGCCGGGGTGACAAAGTGAGACTCTGTCTAAAAAAAAAAAGTCTTCTTTTTTCATGACAGTCATTTATTACCATAAACTACCCCGTTAGAACTACTGTTGCTGTATCCAATAGATGTTGACATATTGTTTTGCATTCTTATTTCTCTCAAGATTTTTTTTAAATTTTATTTTAGGTTCATGAGTATGTGGACAAATTTGTTATACAGGTAAATTGCATATTGTGGGGGTTTGGTATACACATTGTTTTGTCAACCAGGACATAAACATAGCACCAGGTAGGTAATTTTTTGATCATCATCCTCCTCCCACCCTCCAGTTTGAAACTGACCCCTGTGTCTCTTGTTCCCTTCTTTGTGTCTATATGTGATGAATGCTTAACTGCCTCTTAAAAGTGAGAAATTGCGGTACTTTATTTTTTGTTTCTGTGTTAGTTCGCTTAGGATAATAGCCTCCATCTCCAACCATGTTGCTGCAAAAGACAAGATCTCATTCATTTCAATGACTGCATAGTATTCCATTATGTGTGTATATATCAGGTTTTCTTTATCTACTCTAACATTTATGGGCATTTAGGTTGATACCAAATCTTTGTTATTGTGAATAGTATTGCAATGAGCATAGACACACATGTATCTTAAAAGTAGAATGATTCATATTCCTTTAGGTGTATACCCAATAATAAAATTGCTAGACCAAATGGTAGTTCTGTTTTAGGATTTGTGAGAAATTATCACACTGCTTTCCACAAAGACCAAACTATTAGGTTGGCACAAAAATAATTTATTTTTTTGGCATTAAAGTAAAAGCAACTTTTAATGGCAAAAACCCCAATTACTTTTGTGCCAACCTAATAACTTACATTCTCACAGTGTATGTGTTCCCTTTTCTTCATAGCCTCACCAGCATCTGTTATTTTTTACTTTTTAATAACAGCCATGCTGACTCTTGTGACACGGCATCTCATTGTGGTTTGATTGTATTCCTCTAATGATTAGTGATGTTGAGCATTTTGTCATGTGCTTGATGGCCAGATGAATTTTGTTTTTGAAAAGTATCTCTTCATGCCCTTTACCTATTTTTGATAGGGTTACTTGTTTTTGCTTGTTAAAGTTTTTTTTTCTTTTTTTCTCTGTCTCCCCCAGGCTAGAGTGCAGTTGTGTGATCTTGACTCACTGCAACCTCTGTCTCTCAAGTTCAAGCGATTCTCGTTCCTCAGCCCCCAAAGTAGCTGGGATTACAGGTGCACACCACCACACCAGGATAATTTTTGTATTTTTAGTAGAGATGGGGTTTCACTTCTGACCTCAAGTGATCCACCAGCCTCGGCCTCCCAAAGTGCTGAGAATACAGGTGAGAGACATCATGCCCAGCCTTGCTTGCTAAAGTCCTTTATGGATTCTGGTTATTAGACATTTCTTGGATGCATAATTGCAAGTATATTCTCCGATTGTGTAGGTTATTTACTCTGCTGATAGCTTCTTTTGCTGTGCAGAAGCTATTTAACTAGGTACCATTTGTCATTTTTGTTTTTGTTGTAACTGCTTTTGGTATCCTCATAATAAAATTTTTATCAGGTCTTATGTCTACAGTGGTATTTCCTAGATTATCTTCCAGGGTTTTTGTTTGTTTGTTTGTTTTGTTGTTTTTGTTTTTGAAACTGACTTTTGCTCTTGTTGCCCAGCTGGAGTGCAATGGTGCCACCTTGGCTCACTGCAACCTGCGTCTCCGGGGTTTAAGTGATTTTCCTGCCTCAGCCTCCCGAGTAGCTGCAATTACAGGCATGTGCCACGACACTCAGCTAATTTTGTATTTTTAGTAGAGATGGGGTTTCTCCATGTTGGTTAGGCTGGTCTCGAACTCCCGACCTCAGGTGATCCACTCATCTCAGCTTACCAAAGTGTTGGGACTACAAACCTGAGCCACCATGCCCAACCTAGAGTTTTAATAGTTTTGGGTTTTACATTTAAGTGTTTAATCCATCTTGAGTTTATTTTTGTATATGGTGTAAAAAAGAGGTCCAGTATCGATCTTCTACATATGGCTAGCCAGTTATCCCAGCAACATTTATTGAATAGTGAGTCATTTTCTTGTTGCTCATTTTTATTGACTTTGACAAAGATCAGATAGTTGTTGGTGTGTGCCTTTATTTCTGGGCTCTCTATTTTGTTCCATTTGTCTATGTATCTGTTTTTGTACCAGTACTATGCTGTTTTGGTTACTGTAGCATTCTAAGATAGTTTGAAGTCAGGTAACGTGACGCCTCCAGCTTTGTCCTTTTTTTTTTTTTTTTTTTTTTTTTGAGACAGAGTTTCACCCTTGTTACCCAGGCTGGAGTGCAATAGCGCGATCTCGGCTCACCGCAACCTCCGCCTCCTAGGTTCAGGCAATTCTCCTGCCTCAGCCTCCCGAATAGCTGGGATTACAGTCACGCGCCACCATGCCCAGCTAATTTTTTGTAGTTTTTTAGTAGAGACGGGGTTTCACCATGTTGACCAGGATGGTCTCGATCTCTTGACCTCGTGATCCACCCGCCTTGGCCTCCCAAACTGCTGGGATTACAGGCGTGAGCCACCGCGCCCGGCCCAGCTTTGTTCTTTTAGTTTAGGATGGCCTTGCCTATTTGGGTTTTTTTCTTTTTCTTCTTTTTTTTTTTTTTTGGTTCCATATGAATTTTATAATACTTTCCTCTAAATCTGTGAAACATTTCACTGGTAGTTTGGTAGAAGTAACATTGACTCTAGTTTGCTTTGAGCAGCATGGTCATTTAAACAATATTGATTCTTCCTACCTATAACATAAAATGGTTTTTTCCATTTGTTTGTGACATCTGATTTTTTTAGCAGTATTTTGTAATTATTATTGTGGAGATCTTCACCTCCCTCATTACCTGTAATCCGTGTGTGTGTGTGTGTGTGTGTGTGTGTGTGTGTGTGTGTGTGTGTATTGTGAATGTGATTGCATTTTTGATTTGGCTCTCAGCTTGGATGTTGGTATATAGAAATGCTATTGAGTTTTGTATATTGATTTTGTATCCTGAAACTTTACTGAAGTGGTTTATCAGATTTAAGAGCTTTTGGGCAGAGACTATGGAGTTTTCTAGGTATAACATCATATCATCTGCAAACAGAGATAGTTTGACTTCCTCTCCTCCTATTTGGGTGCCTTTTCTTTCTCTTGCCTGATTGCTCTGGGCAGGACTTCCAATATTATGTTGAATAGTAGTAATAAGAGTAGGCATCCTTGTCCTGTTCTGGTTCTCAAGAAGAATGCTTGCAGCTTTTGCCCATTCAGGATGATATTGGCTATGGGATTGTCATAGATAGCTGTTATTATTTTGAGATGTGTTCATTCAATGCCTAGTTTGTTGAAGGCTTGGATTTCACTATAAGGTTTTATGCATCTACTGAGATTTTTGGTCACTTTTTGGCTATGTGTCATGTGCAGATGAATAGAATTTATATTCTTTTGTTTTTGGATTAGCAGTTCTATAGATGTCTGTTAGGCACATTTGGTCGAGTAAAATTGAGGTCCCAAATATTGGTTTTTGCTTTTACTTCTATTTAAGTGAAGAATCACATTTATTAATTTTTGTATGGTGCACAAAACTTGCATCCCAGGGATAAAGCCTAGTTGAATGTAGTGGAATAGCTTTTCAATGTGCTACTGGATTTGGTTTGCTACTACTATGTCAAGCATTTTTGCATGTATGTTCATCAAGAATATTGGAAACTTTTTTTTTTCTTATGTCTCTGCTAGGTTTTCATATCAAAATTATGCTTGCCTTATAACATGAGTTTGGGTGGAGTCTCTCTCTCTCTTTTTTTTTTTTTGGTAGCATTATTTTAATTATCTTGTCAGCAGTAAGAATACTCTAACCAGTATCACAAGAAATATTAGATAATCTGTACCCCAAATGCAGGAGAAAATATGAGACTTACATATTACAACACTTCATCACAAGATTAACTCTGAAAATTGGTGATTATATTACAAAAACAAATCTAAGTATATAGATGAGAATTTGTGAGTTTGCTTATTTGGGAATTAGTACCTAGACATAAAGGTCTGAAGCAAAATCGCACATCCCTTTAATGAATCAAATCTTCTTTGAAGAAGTAAGTACCTCACCTAATCAGAACAGAATGCCTGGTATAGCTACGGTGATATTATGTAGTTTCTTCTAGTGCCTGGAAATCTAGATTCCGGCTTCCACATATAAGCAATTCAATTTCTTCTGGGCTGAATAAGTACTTTAAGAGAGATTCATTGGTCACCATATGAAAACCTCTCCGAAAAGCCTTGAACTGTTTTTCTACTGATTTATTGAGAATGTAGTCAGAATAAAGATTGACAAATTCCTTCCTGTTTTCATTTGTAATTGGAATTTTATCACCATTTTCCTTTAGATCATACATCATTGGGTTACCAAAAAGATCTGTTTGTGATATCTGGAAAGTGATCATCATGTCATCTTCCACATTCCCTTCATACTCCAATAAATCTTTTAAACTCTGATATAGAACTGGGTGAGAGTCTCCCAAGTCATGAAAATTCCTTTTTTCCCCATTAGCTTCCTGTAAACAACCATGGGAAAATGTACATCCAGTATACCGTTATTGTAAATAGCCAGACCCAGTACTATGCCAATCAGAGTAAACTGACCCTCAGTTTCAAAAGAAGATGGATTAAACCAAAACGATTTTATAGATTCATCGTATGTGAACATACCAGTATCTGGATTGAAGATTTCCTCCACAACCAGCTGAAAAAATTCTTTGGAAACACCTCCCTCATCAACTCCTTGTTCTCCTTCAAATTCCACATACAACTGCTTCTTCAAGTCTGCAGGATTTTCCATAGCGATCATCTCTAGCCGGACAAGTGCATCATCTATGATATGGTCACATCTAACTTTGAGTCTCAAATATGGATTCAACTGCTATCCTTGAACTAAGCTGTAGAGAACAGTGATTCTTTGTTCACTGTACATGCGAATTCTATTGTCATAATATAATCCCAAATTCTTTGTGACAGCATTCAATATAAAGGGACATGTCATAAAAGAGAATTTGTTCTCTGTTTCTACTTTGAAAAAGTATAATCTTTATCCATTTCTAATTTCTAGAACCTCATTCAGTGGTTCATTAATAAACTCTTCAAAAGGGATAAGCGGTTTTTGACAATCCAGGGTTTTATCGCCAAGTTCAGTTTCCAGGGGGTCCATTTGAGGACCTTTCTTGTTTCTTCTTTCTTCTCCCAAAAGCCCCTGAAATGGCAGCTCACTGGACTCAGGGATGGGCTCTTCATCATCTTCTTCATTGGGATTTGTGTCCACTTCCTCTCCTACTACATTTGCATAGTAAACCATTTTCAAGCACTTCAAAGCAGCAACAATGGCATCATCATCATTCACTAGATTTCGACTGTTAAATTCATTGCTTATGACTTTATAAGTAATAAGTTGCTGAAATGTCTCCATCATTCTCCGAATCTGGTCTGCGTTGTATTTAGACCACAGTCTGATCAGTTTTCTTTGGGCTGCAAGGGGTAGCTTGCTCAATGCTTTGAAAATAATGGCAATGCCATTTCCAGATATTCAGGACTGTGGAGATTTCTATTCTCCATTATGATAATGAACAAATTCAGATAATTAGGATCTCGAGAGTATACGCTGTGATACGTCAAGTCGCATTTCACATTAGGTGACAAATATACAAGTGCATTGAGAAAGGCAGTTTCAATTTTTTCATTAGAGAACAATCTGGTGTAGACCCTTCTAATGGCATCAACATCCACAGATACATCATCAGGGCCTAATTTTTGCAAATTGTTGTCTCCCTGTGAGCTGTCACCTATCCTGGAGGAAGATGCTTCTGAGTCTTCTTCCACAGCAGCAGCAGAGCATGCAGCTTTTTCCTTCTCATCTTTATCCTTGTCTTCATCCTTGGCTTGAAGAGATTTCAGTTCTTCCTTGGTGTGTTTAACTTTCCGGAAGCCCTGTACCAATGCCTCAGCACTAGAAAAAACTCTTCCAATCACAAGGATTAAAGGGGAATAATCCTCTCTTTCTCTACATAATTCAAGAATTTCATATACCTTCTCTTCTGTTAAGTAAGTCACATCTTTAAAATCAATTCTAGCGCCTTTCTTGTTCATTTTTATCTCAGAGCAGGAGTTGTTAGGGGCACCTTTTGAGTTCTCAAGGTAAGCTGAGCTTGCTCCTTTCTTGGAGGGATGAGGATCACAGAGTTGTGCATTAATCTTATAAAGCTCAAGGGCTTTAATAGCTGCTGCATTATTATCCATACGAAGAAAAGTTGGACAGGAAGCACAAAACTCATTCATGCAGGCCTCATTTCCACAGCCCTAGGTTAACTGGTGGTAGTAGCATTCTATTAGATGCTTTGCAGCTGCTCGCTTCATTCGGCTAGCTTCAATGTTCTCAGACTGAGGTTCTCCTGGTGATCTTTTACAAGCTGTGGCCATTCGGTGACATCAGGGAGATCACAGCTTTGAGGAACTGATTAAAAACAGGCTGTCACACCAGTCTAGCTGCTACCTTGATCTGAGCGTAGGCTTAATAACTCATATTTCGCCAAACTTCTGTGGAGCTGGTGAATTCTAAAATCAGGCTCTTACAGATTTTTAACCTTATGTTATACCTTACGTTACAGATATCTGTATACATTTGTCAGTGCCTCTAGTTGTAAGCTGATTGATAGTAGGGATCATCTCTTCCATATTTTAATTTTCATAATAATGGTGACTATGTTTTCTTGACACCATAACCCTCTGTCGTCGCCCCCACGCCTGGGCGCCTTTAAATTTTTGTAATATTTTTAGTAGGAATGACACTAACTCTTCTGTGTATGTCCGAAGAATTCAGCTGTGAATCCATCTGGTCCAGGGCTTTTCTTCTGATTAGTAGATTTCTTGTTACTGATTCAATTTTGGAAATTGTTATTAATCGATTTAGGGTTTCAATTACTTCCTTGTTCAAACTTGGGAGGTTGTATATTTCTAGGAATTTATCCATTTTTGTAGATTTTCCAATTTGTGTGCATACAGGTATTTGTAATAGTCTCTGAGGGTTTCTGTGTTTCTGAGGGCTTTATGGTAATGTTCCCTTTCTCATTTCTGATTTTATTTATTTTGATCTTTTTTTTAAATTAGTCTAGTTAGTAATCTATCCATCTTACTTATTCTTTCAATGATCCAACCTCTAGTTTTGTTGATCATTGGAATGGTTTTTTGACTCTCGGTTACATTCAGTTTAGCAGTAGTTTTGGTTATTTCTTGTGTTCTGCTAACTGCAGGATTGATTTGCAGGATTGATTGTTTTTTGTTTGTTTGTTTGTTTGTTTGTTCCTCTAGTGTAACGTTTGGTGATTAATTTAACTTCTAACTTTTATATTTTGGCATTTAGCATATGTTGATTGATGTGTCATGTCTCTCTAAAATGTATAAAACCAAGCTGTGCTCTGATCACCTTGGGCCAATGTCATCAGGACCTCCTGAGGTTTTGTCATGGGTCCTCATCCTCAACCTTGGCAAATAAACTTTCTAAATTAACTGAAACCTGTCTCAGATATTCAGGGTTCAAACACGACTTTAAGGTTTTAAATTGCTGGAGAAAATTTTGAGACTAAACTTATTAAATTAATCTTACCAAAGATTGCTATAGTCCTGTGAACTGGAAAGTCTCTGAGCTAGCTTCTATTAATTTGATAAACACTTTTCTTTGAACAAGTTAATTAGAGTTCTCTCATATGATTAATGAATATCATTTCCACAACACACATAAAAACATATTGACATAGAAGACTCAGACAGAGGCAGATCTTATAGATTTAAAATGTTTCATTTGCCTATTTTCAAACATGTTATAGCACCTGATACAGGTTATTAATCTCTTGATTATCTGTCCCTTGTCCTAAACAATTGTTCATAAGTAACTCTAAATTTGAATCTCCAAAGATATGACTTAGGTTTAAAAAAAAGGTAGAAAATGTACATCTCAAAGGCATAAACATAGATGTAAACAAAAGCAAGGTCTGTTATGTAAACTTTAAAACATTGTCTATTCCCTAGTTAAAATTTCTAGTGGTTTAAGTGCAAAGACACAGTTACCTTTACAGAAGACGAGATTTTATTTAAATATGAAAATTTTCTATACAAAGAGGTTTATTTAAATTATTTAGTTTGATAGATGGTCTTTTCATCTTAGTTTTATTAGATTACTAACTTTTGGGTGAAGCCCTTTAAGAAACAGGGCGAAAAAAGCATGCAGGTTTTAGGGCTTATACAATGACATTTTTATCTAAATGTTTGAATAAATGAGTTGTTCCTTGTAGAAATGACCATTTTCTATACATTTTGCTCAGACATCACTAACGTTGTCATTCTAATCTGCCACTACACACACCAAGGTCAAATTTTGTAACAGTACAAAATACTCTCTAGTACCACCAACGCCAAAGAGATCAGATAATCCAGTAAAAGAAGGCAGAACTTTAGACTTATAAGAAATCTGCCCAGGACACTTGAAACTTCACAATGAAAGCAGTATACTCTTAAAAAAAGTGAGTGTTGACATTATTCTCTTTGTTAAGGGATCTGAGTTATTAGAAGCCTTTGCTAGATTTTTTTGCTCACTTGGTACTGAAGATGAAAAAAGAGGTATAAGAAATAGGGTAAAAGAAAAGTAAAATTAAAAATAATTTTAAAGAAAGAAAACAGAGGAAAAAAAGCAGTTTTTTAATTAATTTATTTTTTTTGGTAGTTGTGGGGAATTTTAGCAAATTCAGAAGCCTTGTTTTTCATAATTTGGAATTCTCACTCAGATTTGACCAAGTCAGGTAGAGTTTGTCAAACCTGATAAGAGAAATACTTGTGAAAGAAAAATAAATCTCGGGATTCTCAAATCACTAAGCCAAAAGACAAATCAAGCTGGAAACTGTGTCAGGCAAACCTGCCTCCCATTTTATTTCTAAATAAAATAGCTACAGAGATAAGAAGCTACATGATCTCCCTCACAGTTTTTCCACAAGAAAATTCCTTGTGCACTAAATATTCCTAGAATAAGTTTGATCTGACTGAGTGTCCTCACAACCCAATAATAAGTAGACAAACTGCAGAAGAAGGGAGTGTATTGCTGTAACTGGATACAGAGAGAAGACCAGAGATAGCTTTACCAGACCAACTCAAAGTGTTACAATTGGGGTTATGTGCCTACACATAGCATCACGTTAGCCCATCTCATTTGCCTAAGTTTATAAGTAATAATTTTGTTTTAACTAGAAGGTGAGAGGCCAAAATTGCTTTTTAAGTTTGATCAAGTTGTGAGGCCCCTGGCATTTTCAAGATCTGCCTCTTTAACCTTGATTTGTCTCAAATTTCATCGACCTGAGTTGGCTCCTGGCATAAGGAATGTAAAGCTGTCTCCATTATTTTGACTTGCTCCAGATTAGGGAGAAGCCTGTGCAAGGCTCCTACTGACCATATGTTTTATTTCTAGCTTTGATGTCTGGGCATTGATTTCCCTTATTTTAATTATTTGCTCAATGTTAAGGCAGTGCTGTGAAACTTTGTTGGTACAACTGGGGTAATATGCAGGCCTGTCTGTGTGATTGTCAGGGAGTATTGGCTTGCTACAAATGGACAGACAGAACTCAAAGTCACCATTCTGAGACTCACCTGAGACAAACACATATCTGATTGCTCTCTTTCTCCTATTGCTTAGGAAAAGATGCAGATTCACTGAGCCAGGCTAAATTGTGTATTCAGTGGAAGGCTGATCAAGAACTCAAAAGAATGCATCCCCTTATCTACTTCTAATCTGGAAGCCCCAACTTCAAGTTGTCCTACATTACTGGATGAAACCAATGTATCTCTTACAAATATGGATTGATGTCACATGCCTCATTAAAATTTATAAAAGCAAATTGTACCCCCATCCACCTTGAACACATGTTGTCAGGACTCCCTGAAGGTGCAACATGGGTACATTCTTACCCTTAGCAAAAAAGACTTTCTAAATTGACTGAGACCCTGTCTCTAATAGGGTTAACATACTAAAAAATAACAACAACAAAACAAAAGATATGGTTCCTGAGCACTATAATAAGAAGATGAAATTACGACCAGCTGTTTGTCAACCTTAAATTTTAGACATTAAGGATAATTTTGAAGACAAAATTATAATCTAGCTACTTACCTAGGCTCAAGACTGCTTTATACCATCTTAGAAGCAGGAAAAACTCAAACTCTCCACTCCTGTTGGAAGTTGGGAAAGAGTTGTTTGCCCTCCATCATCATAGAAGCAGGAAAATTCATCTTCCTTGTTGAACATAAGTGAAACTGCAGAAAATGTGTTATATAGCAAAATAAGCCTTATATAACAACAACAAATTGGAAGGTCAGGGATTCTCTGGAGGAGAGAGCTCCTAAATCTCAGCAAATAGTCATTGGTTTGAGAAATAAATATATTCCAAGCTAGTACCAAGCACCAATAGATTTGTCAAAGGTCAGGGCAACCTCCACTCTGTTTCTTCAATTGGTTGCCAATTTGCAAATCAGAAAGTATATGACACGGGTCTCAATCAATTTGAAAATTTATTTTGCCAAGGTTAAGGACATGACCAGAATAAGAAACATGTAATCACAGAACCAATCATTGGTCTGTGCCTTTCTCCAAAGATGAATTTGAGAGTTTCAATATTTAGAAGATAAAAGTGAGCTGGAGGGGAAAGAAAAAGAGTATTGGTAATCCTCATGATGAAAGGGAAAAGAAACAGGTAGAGGAATAGTAAATTATGTATTTCTCAAACTCAGTAAATCAACACTTTACATAAGATACAGTGAACATACAGTAGCAACCTGTGGAGATATTTAATCTTTTATATATAGGTATCTGCTTAGGAACAGAAGGAAGGCAGTTTCTTGCATGACTCAGCTTTCAGTGTATTTTTTTCTTAACTTTGGCATCGTTAATTGGGGTCCTGAGTTTTTACTTTTTAGTCACAGCATAGATTCCAACTCTGATCTAGAGGCCTGAAAACCAGAAGCCCTGAGGGTATGGACGTTCCAGCTCAGCAGTCAGGTGGAGTGCTAATTCAACCTTCTTCCTTTTTTTTACTATTTAGTCCTTAAACAGATTATAGGAGGGCCCTCTGCTTTGCTTAGTCTGGAAATTCAAATGCCAATTTTACACGGAAACACCTGCAGAGACATTCCCAGAAGTAATGTTGCATGTGCTATTTGGGCATCTCATCAGCTGGTCAAATTGACACAAAAAATTAGCCATCAAATCAGACATATTGGACTAGATGCTAGCCATCTGACCTCACTTAATCTTAATTATTTATTTAAAGATCCTATTTCCACACACAGTCATATTTTAAATGGGTGCTGAGTAATAAGACTTCAACGTATGAATTTTAGTATATGTGCTGCCGAAGCGAGCATGATCAACATATGAATTTTAAAATGACACAATTTACTACATAACAATTGAAGATTTTAACATTGTTCTAGCAGTAATTGACAGATTTATCAGGCAAAAAAATTGCAAGGATATAGTTGAACTTAATAGCCTTATTAATCAAGTGGATGCATTTGACAGGTAAAGGATTTTTTATCCAACAATAGCAAAAGTACATTTATCTCAAGCCACATGGAACATTCAGCAAGACAGATCACAGTTTGGGTCATAAATCACCAGATATGCAGGAATCATTCAACGTTTAAAAAGCAATCAAATTTAGTCAACTGATCTTTGACAAAAAAG